GGGGGGCAGCATTTTACATTAGTGTGATACTTTGGGCAGCGTTGTGCCTAAACATCAAATGTTCTCGCACATCTAATTGACGACCATAGTAAACACAATTTAAGCTGGAACTGCAAACAAAAACAACAACAAACGTACTCTTAAAGCATATAATTGCAAAATAATGTGATTATTTTTGAATTAATTCACGCTGTCTCGGTTACACAATTATGACCAAGCTCTGATTCCTAAACTGTAATTAATTACATCAAGTCCTTTATGTTTACCCTTAAAAGTGGGGTATCGCATGATCGTGACAGGTAGCCGGGCTTGTTGACAAAACATGGCGGTGTTTACTCTGACCCCGACAGGTGCATTCAGACCGTGTTTGGGGTTCGCTACTGAAGCCCGGAGTACTAAGGTTGTATGTGCGTCACGGCATAGCAACAGACCCCCCTCCCCCTTTCCGTGAGAAGGAACGGCATTTGGGGCTAATTTAAGCCAACTGTCGTTTGAAGTGTCGCGCTGGTTCACAGAAAAGTGTTCTATCCTGTTTGTACAATCTCTACTGTGCGCAAGCATGCGGACAAGCGAACACGACGACCTACTTCCGTTATAGTGAGGTGTGTACAAGCATTTGTATCATAGGGGTGGCCCAACTTTTTATAGTAGATGTTCTAAGCTCGTGGAAAGCTATTTTAGCGTCATTGTGTGTTGATTAGACTCGAATGTCGCTGCTCTTTTGTTGCAGGATATCTCTGTTTACCAACCTCGGTCTCGCGGGGCGTACCGCGGGCAGAACCGGGGGAACAACAACTACAGCCCCAGCCCCAACATGGCGCACATCCGCATGCAACAGGTCATCCACTACGATCACATCCACAACACAGATCCGCGTACGAAGGACAGTCACCGTGGACAGTCCGGCGACTACTCCCCCTCTCCCCGTCCCCGTTTTACCAGCATTGACCGTAATGACGACGCCATAAAGTACGAGAACGCTGGGACTGGGGAGGAGAGTGACTGCCAGATTGTCGTTGTGAACGTGAGCGGGCTGAGGTTCGCTACACGAGCCAGGGTCTTCGACCGTCTTCCCGACACTCTACTAGGAAACTTGGAGAAGAGGAAAGAGCTGTACGACCCTGTGACCAGAGAAATCTTCTTCGACCGCCATCGGCCAAGCTTTGAGGCTATCTTCGACTACTACCTGCGCGGAGGGCGGCTGAAGTGCCCCTACCAAGTCCCGCTAGACGTATTCCTGGAGGAAGTCGATTTTTTCGGACTCAGCGGCCACCCCGTGGAAGACAACCCCCATCTTTCCACCAGTGCAGAAGCAGAGCCGAAACATCCGCTCAAGAAGAAGATATGGCACGTTTTGGAGAAGCCAGCAGAGTCTTTGGTTGGTCGAGCGATTGGTGCCTTCATAGTGGCAGTGGTTCTTCTGTCGACCATATCTTTCTGTGTGGAGACCATACCCATGTCTGAACCCGTGTCGGAACCCCGGCATGAAGTCGTCGACCCAAACTCCACAGAAAATGACAGCGCGTCCCAGGTTAGACTAGTACTTTGTCTATACATTTCTGACTGAAAATATGCCTTTGTATATTTCTTCTAGGCTGTAGCTGCCACCTTCATATCCAGAGCATAGCGAGGAAAGTTACACATATAAGCTTTGCAGATTTTTAGCACAGCTAAGTGTACACGAATGTCACTGCACAATATTTCCTTCACCACTGTGAGCGGATGCATCTGTTCTATGTACATCCTGCTTAGTAGAAAGGTGTCAGATATAGATTGCACGACAGAAATGCATTTAGTGTTTGATTTTGTGCCTTGGAACTTACAGTATGTAAACATTTGCTTTTCACCAAAGAGCTATTGGAGGGAATTTCGTCACCTTATGTATAATATACATTTACTGTGTGTATACTGTTGAATTCAACAGTACCTACATGTGATACTTTGTGTACCATGTTTCTGTGTATTTTACTGACACATATCTTTCTTGTACTTTCAGAACCCTAAGAAGACGGAGTTCAACTATTTCTTGGTAGGCAACTCAGCAACCACCTATTAATCTATCAATTTATGTAGAATTCTTTGAAACATCATTGTTCGGTGTCTTTATGGATACCACTAGATGTCATAAGTGCCATGTTTGATTAATTTGTGTCGTACGAATATACTCCGCAAGGTGTCGTCCCTCTACTTGTTGACCTTTAGGACATCTTTTCATTGACCTGTAGGTCATCTTTTTGCATTGAGAACTGTTCCGTTTCAAAAGTTGTTGGACAAGACCAGAAAAACATCCTGTAGCATGTATTACTGTCATACCATTTTACATGACCTCTGTATGGTAAACATAAACAGTTCGTTGTCTATATATATTTCCTTCTGTCACAGATTGCCTACACTCATTTCGCGTTCTTCTGGATTGAGACGGTCTGCATCGCCATTTTCACGGCAGAATTCACCGCCCGCTACGCCGTCACTCCCAAAACCACCGAAAAGTTCCTCAAAAACATGACGAATATCATCGACATGGTGGCCATCATTCCGTACTTCCTAACCCTCATCACCATCGGACTTGCTGACGGCATGGCGACTACATATACCCAGGGTACGGTCCACGTCTTCCTCCGCATCTTTCGACTCCTTCGCGTCGTTCGGGTCTTCAAGCTTTCCCGGCATTCCAAGGGGCTGAGGATTCTGGGTAAAACGCTGCGGGCCAGCATGAACGAGTTCGTCATCCTGTCGTTCTTCATGATCGTCGCCATGGTGTTCTTCTCCAGCGTCATGTACGTCACGGAGGCCCATCACCCGAGAACCAACTACACCAGCATCCCGGACGGCTTCTGGTGGGCCGTGGTTACCATGACGACCGTGGGGTACGGCGACAACACCCCTCTCACGGTTGGCGGGAAAATCGTCGGTGCGGTGTGCGCCGTGACGGGACTGTTAGTCATCGCACTCCCCGTACCGGTCATTGTGTCGAACTTCAACTACTTCTACCGCACAGAAAGGGGAATCATCGGCCCTAACAACCAGCGTGCTGTAGGAGCCAAAAAGGACAAGAAAAAGAAGAAGTGTTGTATCAGTTGCCACACGTGATATCAAAATGATTGAAGTGTCGTGTAGGTCAGTTGATGACCTTATTGTGTTTTATAATACTACTATTAATATACTAGACAAAAAAGCGCCATGCTTCGTCATCAGTTCGGTCGAAAAGAAAAACATTCAACTATTATATAGTGTTTTACCGAACGTTTTGACGCCTAACAAAATGTAGCCGTTAGAAAAATAAGTGGACTGATCTGTTAAACGAATCATGTTGTGAGGGAAAAAGACAGGAAGTGAAAGATCATGGAACCAAAAGATCGATGTTTGTGCTTGACTTTTAGAGATGGCAGTTTGCATTCTATATCATAACTGATATGTTTACAATCGTGAAAACATGTCAGATATATGTGTGCAGTTCCCTTTTTTTCACTGACGACCTGTGTACATACTTTGCTTAGTGTTGTTTTACTGTTGGTTTTATAAGAAATAAACTCATGGTCTATGTTAAACCATTTCCGTATCCATTTATGTCTAATTGTATATATAGTTCTTACAATGCAACAAATCTATGCTGTATGAGGAAATTTGTCTGATATTCATTGGCAGTTACTTCCATTTCTTAGCATATTTTCGTCATCATTTCATACTTGAAGCATTTCAAATAGCCCAGAAACAAGCTACATGAGGCGTCTCTTTATTTTTGGGTACCTACCATAAATACTAGTAACTAGAACCAGCCTACCATACAAAACAAGCAACTGTTTTCCATCAGCGACATCGCATTTTTGCCTCACAGATATCAATATGCTATGGGATAGGTTTGATTTAACTTACTTCATTAAAATAATGACCACAAAATTGACTTTGAAAATCCAGTTTTGTCGCCCTGAAATTGCATTAGATGCAAGGTTAAACACAGGGGTTACCTCGTCCATACTGTGGTAGTAGTAAGACTAGCAGCGCCACTGTCAATTGGAATGAGAATTACAGTGACCGCATTTTCTATCAGGCTTAAGCCTGAGACGGTTTTACGACACACCTACTTGCTAATTCTTCTACCTCCTCCTTTCTCAGTAGACGTAGATAGTTACCTGAGAACCACACACCTTTGTTTTAAACCGTACGGTGTGTGATGACGCAGATTTGATGAATCAGAAGGACCGAAGAAAGCGTCACCACAGCGCGGTACCTTCTTGGACGGGCCGTGCGCTGAGAAACGTGATAGCGTTGTTGACGTAGTGCCCTGTGTTCGCGTGACGTCTTTAAGTACAGCTGCAGAGTCACCCTGTGGGCGGGTAAGACTCTAAAACCTCCTTGGTGAATACAAGACCAACTTTTTGGAAAACGCGAAGAATCCTCGAGAAAATCGCACGATTATCTGACAGTGAAGACAAATAAACAATGGTTGCAGGCTATGTGTAGTTGCCAAATGTTACTTGTAAGTTCCAAGATAGATAAGAGAGGCCCAGAAGAGCCAAGGAGCTTAAACCTGGAAACTTCACCCATTACTCTGTATATAAACTACAACCCGTAAAGACAAACCTGATGCAAAAGATTCAAACGACAGGGCAAAGATTCAACAATCTCAGTCAGCCAAACGAACACAAATGATTGTACTTCGTATATGTGTTGTTTATACTTGCAGCCTTGAGTAGAAAACATGTAGTGTGAGTCAGTCCGCCCCCTAAATCTATAACTACGTCAACGATACAAAATAACAACAAAACGTCTGACGTGCTTATCAAGCACTGTTTCCCACCTATGCACTTTATATAAACAGGACATTGATTCCCAGAAGCCCAATGATCCAATCATATGCCTTATCACAAAGCGGTTCAAGATGTTTACCTAACTGTCGCCCGGCTGACGACCCCTATTGTGTTTCGGCCGACTCGTGAGGACGGACGTAAACCTACGTCACCAGCGCCCCAGATAGGCGTGTATAAAGTTCGCCCCGCGTGGTCGCTGGACTCAGAAGTTTTGCAGCGCAGCAGAGTCAGCGCGTGTGACACAGCGCTTAGCCCGGGATAACCATGCGTTTAACAGTTGCCTTTCTGGCCCTTGTCGGCCTGGTGGCCGTGAGTTTTGCGGCACCGGTAGCGGAATTCGAAGATCCGTCCCCAAGTGAGGAAGAGGACCGGTACGAAGAACCGGACAGTTTTGAGACGGAAACGTTCGACCCTGCCGAACCCCCCGAGCCAGGGGATGGAGAGGAGGAGGAGGAATACGCAGAGGACGACTTGACGACGTCCAAAGACGACTTCGAACCGCCTCCGCCACCACCTGAAGATGATTCTTGGTGGGAAGAAGAAGACGAGGAGGAAGAAGATGATTCGTGGTGGGAAGAAGAAGACGAGGAAGAAGAAGGCTGGCCAGAAGGGAGGACCGCAGAGGAAAACTATGAGGAAATCTTATCGTCTGAAGACGTCGAGACGCAAGAATCGACGCCGCCACCTCGAGAGGAAGACCAGGAGGAGCCTCAGCCAGAGGGACGGTCCGAGGTGTTCACGTCGGCTGAGGAGGTGGAGGGGAACGCTACCGAGGCGGAGCAAGAAGGCAGCGGGGACTACCTGCCTCTCCCAATCGGCATAGAGCTGCCGCCAGAGCCGGAGATCGACGGAAACTACACCATCGGTAAGCACCAATACTCTATTATAACTGAACTAGGTAGACAACAGAATAAGAATGACTGAATGGAAACCTTAAAGCTTTGTTGTACATTTTCGCCCTACTGGGCTAGGCGCAGGTCATGTTAACAATCTTATACAATGTATAACGTTATGCGTGTAGATAATGAGAAGTAGTTAGCTTATAAGGGCTTTTTTCTCATATGAGGTTATACACTGAATATAAAGTTTTTTTTTTAAATTCAAATCACCATCCTACAGTCGAAATAAAATTAGATCTACGTGACTCGCTAGACTAGTCGGATTAAAGGATTAAAGGTTTAGATTTGTAATCTGTCGGTGTCCGGGATTATACGATTGTTTTAGCCGTGCAAGAACAATCTGGAGACGTTTGCACAATGTCTGTTTTCATTTCTACACCTTTCTTTGTTTCTTTAACGTCCCAGACGAGACGCCGCCTGTAGACGGGAACACCACTGAAGAAGACGGGCCGTCTGTACTGGACAGCATTATTGAAATCAACCAGAACGCAGGTAAGCTTTAGCCTGGGTACCATCCCCAGTAGTATATTCGCAAACTCTATAACTGGGTCTGGACTTGCACACATATGTAGCGTCTGGAGTCTAAATATTCGTTCAGATTTTGAACGAGCGCGCTGATTGGTCCTACTCGTCTAAACCCTTTTTTGGGTGTGTACATATTAGGTAAGGGCTGTTCGGATGTCCGAACGGCGACGTTAGCGTCCGTTCGAACGTCCGAACGCCTTATCATTAACATGTCCGACGGCGAACCGAACGCTAAAGCACACATGATATAGCCGTAGTCAGTCTTTCCGCGATAAATCATCAACATGGCTGACGCACAAGCCGCTCAGCTCACGGAGGTTGATGTTGACCTCGCAATCACGTCCGTTTTGGACGATTTAGACGGAATATCGTCGCTCAAAAATGAGCAAAAAGATGCATTGAATAATTTCGTTCGTGATGTTTTGGGCGTCCTACCGGTAAAAAAAAGAACGCGCCGAGAAAAGGAACACTCGCACGAAGATCTGTGTTTACAAAACAACAAACATCACTTGAATAATGCAGGCGCGCCATTGGCCGTCGCCTCTGAGGCTTAGCCAATCAAATGAAGCCCCGCTGCTCGGGCTAGCTCATTACGTGACGTCATGACCAATCGTTTTATATGTGTGCAAGTCCAGACCCAGTTATAGAGTTTGCGAATATACTACTGGGGATGGTACCCAGGCTAGGTAAGCTTATCTTTTGGCTTTAAACGCATCCAATGCAATTTCAGGGTGGCAAAATTTTAATCCATTTTTATTCTTTAAATGTGTAACATGCAGTCATAACATCGTGGGCGAGGGCCCCTTGTGGGCATTGATAATCTTTTCTTAAATAAACATAACGTTGAAATGACATCACGAAATAATTAAATTCGCCAGACATGTTTTTTGTTTGGTTATATCTATGTATTGCTGTTGTTCAGCCGTCTCGCGAATGTGTTGACACGTAGCGCCGTGGGGATCAATAAAAAGTGGTTACATAAGTGATTAAACAAGCAGAAAAACAAAAATACGGTGTGACCTGTGATCATGAGCTGAACAATATGTGTCAATCATGACTAGGGGGCGTGTCCTACATATGGCAGACAAATTAACTGTTTTATACCAAATTTACTGTAACGGCACCACCGTTTGAAGAAAAAACAAGGCGCCAAGCTAGTAAACTTCCAATGATGGTCAAGGTCACACTTAAGCAAGTTTGTTATCATCTTGTGAAGACCAGACGTAAAATCAAACGATAAAAGTTGGCTGAGCTAACAGTGGAAAATGCCAGTCAGCAAATCTGAACAATAAAACAGGACAGGGTCACTAAATCTGTAGGGTCATTACGGTAAAGTCCAAAAGGTCAAGAACCTTATTTTCGTCGTTGTTTGAAGAGTATAAGGCCAGGGACATGCACAATATACAATATATAAGATAACAAGAAGCGCTGACTGTGGTAGAAATTTTTCATTGTCTGACCGCTTATCCCTGCGTACTATTAAATTCATTCTCAATTGCGAGAAGATTGACACAAAATATACACTCCATGCACCTACACTCAACACCGAGTGCTGGCGACAATATATGGTTTATTGTATTCACTGTCATACCTTGAACTGAAAATATTAGAGCATAACATCTTTAACTGGAAGAACTAGTTTGAGTTGCAGTTTTTTTAAAGCAAGTGCCTGTTTTTCTTCCTTATAGGGTTGTTTGTTGGTATGCCGGACGGTCGCTCAGTGTGCCCTGAGTTCGAGTGCGAGCTTTCCTGCATGTTTGGGTACGAGACGGGAGAAGATGGCTGCCCCGAATGTAGCTGTGTCCCAGGTAAGCAAACTGCCCCCCTCCCACACCACTTACAATCTATCATCATTGTTCATTGGCTGTTTCTTTGCAATTTAGTGGAATAAGAATAAAAAAAAAACGAAACGCTCATGCCTACTGTAAATAAAACCAAGTCATCGCCTGTTACTTCAACTCCAAGCAGAGGTTTTCGTTTCGGATTTTTTTGACGTGTTATGCCAACCTAAATGGTAACCTTCTGGCAAATTGATACTTCCAGTGGCTAATTTGATACGGTCTTTACAGCCACCAAAATATCTGCTTGGAGTTGGATGATGAAAACCTAGTCATTCCGTGCAGTGAAACAGTTTGTATAATTCGTATCTTTTCACGCACACACAGATGGGGAAGAAAAGCTGTTTGAAGGCGATATCGCTTTAAATGACGACACCAAAGAATACCTCCGGAACGTGATCGAGCCTACCGGACGGGGTGCCAGCAGGAGGCCGCTGTGGACAGGGCGCGTGGTGCCGTACACCTTCAACAGTGCAGTCGGTAGGGACACCCCCCCCCCTCTTGACTCTACGAAGGCCTACAGTGACATTTCTATTAGGCGACGAAAGTTGTTGTAATGGGCCTTCGTACCTGATATCGGCAATGTTTATATTGTAACATAAATGACACAATCTCGCCCGAAAGAGAACCATTAACATTAACCTGCATCACTGTCTTGCGTTTGAGCGTTGTACAGTAGAAGCCGCTTATTTGAAAAGCCAATTTGTCAGCACATTTTTTTCAAATACCCGGCCTTTCCGATTAAGAGACTCTGAGGCTCAAACTCTCGGCCTTCATTGAAACTATGGGGGTGGGGGGTGGACAGGGCATCGAACACATAACGACACAAAGAATACAAACACGAGTCACATTTACGCATTAAAAACAGTGAACTTTATTGAGATCGGTAAATTTGCTTTTAATTTTTTTCGTTGACGTACACACGTATTTTTTTCGTTTTTTCCAAGACTGGAAGAACGCCGCGATACGTTAGACATCATGTGCTATCGGCAGGCTCTACTCGAACGAATAAACAAATTATGCTACGTTTGCTACGTACAAAATTTTACATGTACATGTATTTGAAACATGCATGGGTCTGAAATATAAATTTTTTGTCTGTCTGGAGATAGTTATGTCGAGTTTGTGCAAGTTATTATCTGTGTCATGTTTGCTTTACGTCAAAAATAAATGTCATAAGATTAAGGCTGAATACTTTTGTTTCTTTCCCATCAGCCTATAACAGCGCCAAGACCAACGCCATCAACGCCGCTATCAGAGAGTTCCACCGCCAGACCTGTATCCGCTTCGTGCGCAGGAGTAACCAGAGGGACTACATTGAGTTCGTCAGTCTTGGAGGGTGAGCTGCCACTTTCCTTTTTTGGCGACGCCTTAGGGGCGGAGGCATGAAAAACTGTATTGAACATGTTATATAGGTTCTGGATGGAACAAGACAGCACCAGATCAGTGACATGTAGTACTGTAAAAACAAATCAGTTCTTGTCAATAAATGGTAATTATAACAAAATACCGAATTTCAGAGCAATTTCATCTTATCTTATCTTTCACCTAGTGTAGTTATTTGACCGTTTAGGGCACCGTATAAGATCCGGCAACCAGTTTTCAGTTTTCCGGCAACCGTTAAGCAGTTCCATATTTGGTGTCAAATGTATTTTGACCCCCAAATTAACTGGAGACGTGCATCCCTTTCAGGTGCTTCTCTAATGTCGGTCGTAACGGCGGGAGGCAGCAGGTGTCCATCGGTAACGGCTGTGAGCAGACCGGCACGGTCATTCACGAGCTCCTGCACGCACTGGGATTCTGGCACGAGCAGTCCCGACCTGACAGGGATAACTTCGTCGCCATACAGTGGGCAAACATCCCGCAAAGTAAGTTCAACACTAGCCTCCACCAGGAAAAAAATGGCCCGCGAGTAAGCCACAGTCAGGGTAACATTTCCCTTGGAAACTCCAAACTCCCCTGGCAAATATTCACTCGCCATAGCCAGCGTAGTTAACTTGGAAGAGACTGATGCATTGGTTTCAGGCTGGCCCCTAAAATGCATGTAACAAATTAGGTCTTCTCTTCTATTCTTTATACTTCCTTTTTGATAGACAAAATGTCAACAAATCACTTGCGATGCATGGTAGGTAAGGTTTATGTACAGAATTACGGATAGCTACGTTCAAATGGTGAAAGAAGCAACGTTAGCTGATGAACATTTCAAAAGAGATAACGACATAAAAGGTAATCATAATTGCTTGCTTTGTCTTCTTGTAGGTGTGCGCTACAACTTCCAGAAGTACACCAATCGTGAAGTGAACTCTCTCGGGTCCGCTTACGACATCGGTTCCGTAATGCACTACGGCAGCTACGCCTTCAGTTTCAACCGTCGCCCGACCATCACGGACAGGTAAGCTGGCTCCTTCCCGCACCTGAATACCGCTGTTTATTTTGAATACAAAGTAAGGATAAAAAATGTTAAAGGCATCTCATGTAATTTTAGGGAGGCAAAACTGGATTTTCTGGTCATTCTTTGTAAATATGTAAATGCCACTACGTGAAACAAAAATACTAGAGAGTGTTTGTTCTTTTCTAGTAAAAATGTTACTGTGTACTGTTACTGATCTTGTACATGTTTTCCGTGCAGGTCCGGCCGACCAATTCGTACCCAGAGAAGAGGTTTCAGCAATTCCGACTTGTACCAGTTGGCGAGGCTTTACCAGTGCAGTACCACAGGTCAGTAAAAAAAGCATCTAGTATCCAGATCTGTGCGTACATCCGTTACATTGTTGTAGCCTGACAGAAAAAGGAGACAATCGACTATTTTCTATCAATCGGTAAAACGACGGTGTTGATATCATTACAGGTGGTGGTGGAGGTACTGGTACCGGCGGCGGTGGTACCGGAACCGGAGGTGGCGGTGGTACCGGAACCGGCGGGGGAAACGGAAACTGCGTCGACCGCAACAACAACTGCAACTCCTGGTCCCGCCAAGGCTACTGCGCATCCAGCCAGTACCGCCAGTACATGCAGACCAACTGTCGCAAGGCCTGTAATCTATGTTCCGGCACCGGGGGAGGCGGTGGTACCGGCACCGGAGGCGGCGGTGGTACCGGAACCGGTGGTGGCTCCTGCAGAGATAACAGCAACCACTGCCGCTCCTGGTCCAACCAGGGCTACTGCCGTTCCGGATCCTACGTCCAGTACATGCGCACCAACTGCCGCAGGAGCTGCCGGCTGTGCACCGGCGGTACCGGTACAGGTACCCGGCCCAACCCGACCAGCAACAACTGCCGCGACAACAGCAACCACTGCGGGTACTGGTCTCGTACCGGGGAGTGTAGCAAAAACCCTACCTACATGAGAAAGTCCTGTCGTAAGAGTTGTGGGTTGTGTTAAAGAGCGTGCGATATCAATGATCATTGTGAGCACCCTCCTCCTTTCGCACAATGTAAAATCAGTTTCTTGCATTGAATGAACATTCTGACGCTGCTGAAATTATTGTTTTAAACCATTGTTGCAAAGAATTGTTATGATACTGCGGCACTTGAATTCCTTAGGACACTCATTATATACAAAAACAAATAAAATTGTCATTAATTACTTACGCGTTTTGTCAACCGGATTAATTGATAGATTGGACGCAGTTGGAACATCCTGTCAACTCTTAGATATCATTTATTCATTCATTATTATTCAAACTTAGACTGTGATCATATGGTGCCAATGTTGAGATTGTATTTGAGATTGAAGTTTATGAATAAGTGCATGGGTTATCATTACCAAAATATTCCGAATTTTGTACGCATTTTTAAGACACCTGTATACTTTGTAATTGTACTATTACTACTTGAACAAGCCATCTTTGTCAAACAAATAAATAAACAAATAAACTAAAGAAATGTGGAAGTTAATGTCTTTTTACTGCTTTGAGTATGTCCATAAGGAGTATTTATTTCTGCTCGGCTTTGGGCAAAACAGTCTTGACATTTGTTAGATATCTAGGTTAGGAAACTATTAGTGGTTTTGAGAATGTTCCTGCTATTGATACGAGGAAACCGTACACTCATAGTTTTATATCTTTACACGATCTATGAATTAATTCTAAGATCTTGTGACAATGTGAAGCTACGAGTGCACTTTTCTTCTAAAAGTTGTAAATTCAAAAGCTTCACGGAAAAGCTTGGCATTGCAAATGCATTTCATCCTATAGACGTGTGGTTACACGTTTCTTATTTGTCTGCAGTTAGGCCATGTTGATTTGATTATATGGATGACATCCGCGCGCGCATGAATTTTCGGCCGTTTCCAAAAAAAAAAGTTTTCAACCATACTGTAAATCGTACAAAACAGTTGCAAAATGAGCAAAAATATAACAAAAGTTACAAAAAAAATTAATAAAAACTATACCAATGTCGTAGAATGCCAAAATCAAACGAAAAAAGACGAAATTGTAAAGAAATGAACTTGAAGACTAGATTATTCGCCAAACCATATTCTGTGCCATTTGCTCAACCCTCATGACCACGTAGATTTCATAATGAAATAATTTTTTTTTTGCTAAAAACTTTTTTTTTTATTCGTCACGCGCGCATCAGTTTTGGGGCTCCCGGAGGATGTCATCC